GTTTGAAGTGAGTGCATTAAACAGTGTAATGTCTAAGTTTATAATCAGATTATGTTTTAAACTGTCTGATGTCAAAGTTTGAAATCATTGTTTGAGGTTTACTCTTGATGTTTTAAACTGTCTGATGTCAATGTTTGAAGTGAGTGTAATAAACTGTCTGATGTTAAAGCTAGAAATCATTGTTTGAGGTTTGCTCTTAATGTTTTAAACTGTCTGATGTCAGTGTTTCTTTGAAGTGACATTAGTTTCCTCTAGAACAGTATAAATACTGTTTTGATTCTTGTTGAAGTCATTACTGATCTGACTTGCCTAGCAATCACATCACAACTCTAAACACACAGACACAATGAATTCCTAGTCTATGCAAGAAGCTGAAGCTTATGGAGTACCAGAGAGAGACAACAGTCTGGATTTGGAGCAAACTACTGAACAACTGGATGTTGCCTACAGAAAATTCACCAGGCAGGGCATGTGACCAGCTGCTGCTGATTGATGACAGAGCCAAGATGGTGGAGTTACGCTACCAGCGAGCCAAGCTACACCAGAGAGAGGCCCATCGCTACTCCCTACGCCTACAGATATCAACACTCAGCAACATGAAGATGATGTTCTACCACTATGCAACTGAGATGGCTGCTGTAGTTGAGGACCTCAAGAGTAAAGTTGACCAGATGAAGACTCAGGATTCTGATGATGAGTCTGAGTATTCCTTCTTTGAAAATGATGAAGAAGCTGAGATGTCAGAATGAAGCAGCTGTATACAGTTCTTGAGACTTTCCCTTCAAGAGCTACATACTGAACGGTCCTTTCAGGACCATGCATTTCTTGCAAAATTAGATCATGAATAATGTATGGATAATGAAGAATCCTGTACAGTGTATATGAGAAATGTTAGAACATTTGATATTCTAATGTATGTATGTATGTATGTATAGCTTCATTGCCCTAAATTAATTAGGAGATACATATTATTTATATGCAAATACATAGTATAACTAGACTTTGGAAATTGAACGAAGTTCAATTTCAGACTCCAGATCTAGACTTTTTTAAGCCCAGTCATCTAAAATAAAACAAGTCATCCAGAATAAGCTGAGTCATCCAGAATAAGATGGATGGATAAAATAGGAAGGTAGGAAAGGATAGAATGGGTTGGAACGATAGGATAGAATAAGAAAGAAGGATAGGATAGAACAGAATAGGAAGAAAGGATATGATAGGAGAGGATAGGAAGGATATGAAGGAAAGGATACGAAGGAAGGATAGATAGGAAGGATAGGATAGGATATGATCAGATAGGAAGGATGGATGAATTTTTCAATATTTTCTTCTCTACTCTTGACTTTCTATCAGGATACCATCAGATCGATTTTCCGAAATCTCAAAACGCCATAACTTCCTAACCGAAAGTCGGATCTAAATTTGATTTAAAGATTCGGATCCCTGACAAAATTTTACCCCTAATTCATAACTCATACGTTAAATTTGGCGAATTTTTTATTTTGACCTACTTTTCGGACACGCCATAACTTCCGAACCGGAAGTCGGATCGAAATTTGGTTTGCAGATTCGGATTCCTGACAAAATTCTATTCCTAATTCATAACTCATACGTTAAATTTGGAGAACTTTTTATTTTAACCTACTTTTCGGACACCATATCTCAAAAGTGGGTCAAAATACTTTCTGACGGCAAAAGGCTAACACTATAAGCACACTCTTGGCTACATGTATACACAATTTCGAAGAATATAATTGAAGTGTAGTGTCAGAATCGCAAAAATAAGGAAAACCTTTGAATTTGACCTAGATTTTGACCTAGGAATTTTGGTGTCCAAATTCTGAAGCTAGATGGCTTTTGAGGTCCCCTTCTTTTGAAGGCTTTCATTAAATTAAGCTGAACTCAGTCTATATGTCGTATTTTTCATTTCAAAAAAATCTTTTTTCCCATTGACTTAACATGGGCACAAAATTTAGCGATTTTTGAGTTTTCAAAACGCCATAACTTCCGAACCAGGAGTCGGATCGAAATTTGGTTTGTAGATTCGGATTCCTGACAAAATTCTACCCCTAATTCATAACTCATACATTGAATTTGGAGCAGGTTTAGGTGTGACCTTCTTTCTGGACGCCATATCTCAAAATCGGTTTGAGATATCAAAAAACTAAATGACCCTAGATTTCCTACTTTTTTATGAGGAACACAATGAAAAAAACCTGGATCGAAAATATTGAAGGACGACTGAGAAAATTGAAAAAAGTGACAAAGTACTGGATTTGACCTAGTTCTTGACCTTTGACCTAGAAAAAAATTTGACCCAATTTCCCACCAACTAGATACTGAACCTAAATCAACTGTATAATGGTCTTTCCTGGATACCTTATAGTTACTGAAAAAACTCAAAAAGAAAAATAAGAATAATAAGAAGAATAAGAATACTGGCAAATACAATAGACTCCAGATTGACATCTGGAGTCTAATAAAATTAACATTTGAAAAAGAACAACCTATTTACATGATGTTTGTATTATATATATATACATGAAATTGTGTTTCAGAGCATTGACATTCATCATGAGGATGAAGGTCCATGTTCAGTTAGACAGTCTGTTCTGTATTATCGAAGCTCTGATATTATAGTTGATTTTGACAAATTCTGCAAACTTTCTCAAATTCAACATAGAATGTTGATCACATGTAGCATTAATGCCGAGAATTGTGTCACAATCAAATTTCACCTTCAATTCAGTGCAGAAATTAGCCAGTTGCTCTCTGGTTTGTATGTAACTTTCAGATTTACAGTAAAATAAGAAATGTTCTACAGTCTCTGTCTCAAATGAGTCACACATTGTACATAATTTAGATTTGTTATCTCCTCCACGATATTTGCAATTAAGCATATGTTCACCAGTTAACAGTTTGAACATTATAATACAAGAAGACATGGCTCTTGGAAATTCCTGTGCGACACACCACCATATATTAGGTTTAAGTGCATTAAAGTTCAACTTACGAAAATGATTCAGACCACTGTAGAAATTCCCTTCACAATTTCACAGATTTTGAACAATAATTTTTCAGGTTACTTGAAAGAGGAATTGCCAAAAGGGGAAAGACCATTAAAAATCATTATAAAACGCAGCAACAAAACAACTAAGAAACACAGTACAAGCACATTCGAACAAAGAAAAGAAATGAATGCCTCCTTCTTCACTGGTTACTTGAAAGGTATTTTCATAAGAAAACACTGATGGCAACATTGGAAATCAGTCATTTAGGATGCCGTAATTAAATATGCTAGGCATATTTAGTACAAAATGGCCATTGCTACTCCCTATGGCAATAGTTCTTTACACTAAGCAAAGATATCCATCAATGCAGCTATGAAATACTTAAGATGAACCAGTTATCTAAAAATAAAGGACCCACGGTCCTGTGCTCACACAGTTTGGAATCTTCAGAGGAATGTATATCCTGACTTTCAAACAAAAATATTGATTTGGATTTGTATTCTCGAACTTCAAGAAACTTAGATAGCACAGTTGTGTGACCTAGTTTGATGACCTTTGACCTTGAAAATTTTACTTATTCAGACCTCAGTAAGGTCTTTTGTGATTTTTTGACCTTTCGAAGTTCACTGAAGGTCAAGTCCTAAAACTTATGTCAGATTTGAACTCCTGGCAACTTGTAGATGATTTTCAAAAAAAAATGGTCAAATTGAAAACTAACTTATTTTTACTGTTTTTTGACATCAAATATCTCAAAAACCGAAAAAATTTGATGCTGACATATGTTGAGCAATATGTAGGGAATGCTTAAATCTAGTAATGATGTAATTCATTGCAAGGACTGATCAAATATAAGGCCTACTTTTTGTCAAATTTTATAGAGTAAACACCAAAAACTGTAATTCCAAGAACTTTGAAATCTTCAGAGGACATAAGTTGCATATACAGCAACTACTACAAGTTATTTGAAAGTTCTACTTCAACAAAGTGTCTAGTATTTACAGAAAATTTGACTTTTTGACATCAAAATCAGCAATTTCTCGGAAACTGGGCGAACTTGGGAAATGGCGATGATAAGTCAAATAGGCATTATGGATATGCATACAATTATCTACAATTATCTACGGACACCTGGTCGATCCCATAGGCTCACTGTGTGAGCCAAAAATATAATTGCCACACATCTGAATGCCACCATGATTAGCTTATTCAATGATGGTACACCTGAATGCAAAGTGAAATCTCTTTGGACTTTGTAGTAAAAATAGTCAAGACAAAAGTTTGGCAATGTCAATTTCTCTATTGTACCACCATTTGAACGTTGAAGCATGTTTATTTGTGGCAGATTCAGGAAAAAATTATCTTTGTCATACATTTCTTCATGTAAGTGGTCGAGAAAAAATGTCCACACATGAACAGCTTTTGAAAGGAGAGTCATGGTTGACCAACCCAGCGTGAACCCCACTACTACTATACAACATGATGATAGTATCTCATAAACAAGGTGGTCAAAAAACTGTAACCATAGTTTTTCCTCATATCTTTGTCATTTTAGGAAAAGGAAGCATTTTGGCACATGTGTATATCATTAATTTTTTCACCATCTAAATAACCAACATAATGCTTCAGCACTTTAACCAACATGTTCCTTAATTTCCAATTTGATGCACTGGTAAACTCTAACAATTATATACCATCTGGAACCTAAGCTTCTGATGTAGTAGTGGAGAGGTTCCTTCACACAGACAGAATCATAATTTAGTGTATACTTAGCAGATAGGTTCCTTTACCTTTGAAGATGCTAACAGAAATGCTTCTCAGGAAGTTCTGGGGTTAACTCAGGGGAGTTGATAGGTAGCAACAGTGGTTCCAACAAGACAGAGCCATTCCCCATACATCTAATGATGCACTAGAATTGCTTTGGAACCACTTCTATGACCACATTACTATCATCAAGACAACAGATACTATGCAAAGAAATACCGCACAAACCTGTTAATTTTGCAGCTAGTTTTGTCATTTCTACTACTAGTTTGTCAAACACATATTTCTTGCCGGAGCTTATCTCTACCATCTTCTGTTTATCTACCTTTACTTTCTGGTGTCTGCAAAAAGAAAACAATGGTTTGAAAAATGTTAAAGCCTCATCCAGTATTACTGATTTCTTGTCAGTAGTTGGTTTGGTTATCACAAAATAAATGTTCTCAAAAGCTTGGAATTACTATATTTCTAGTGCAACCAAGGATATAAACCTCTTGAATGAAGAATTAGCAATGAATGACACTTACTTACAATGACTGGAACTTACTTGCAATGAATGACACTTACTTACAATGACTGGTACTTACTTGCAATGACTGGAACTTACTTGCAATGAATGACACTTACTTACAATGACTGGAACTTACTTGCAATGAATGACACTTACTTGCAATAAAAGTACTTACTTTCAATGACTGGAACTTACTTGCAATGAATGACGCTTACTTGCAATAAAAGTACTTACTTTCAATGACTGGAACTTACTCGCAATGAATGACACTTTCTTTCAATGAATGGAACTTACTTGCCATGAATGGTATTTACTTGAAATGACTGGATCTTGTTTGCAATGAATGACACTTGCAATAACTGGAACTTACTTGCAATGAATTGTACTTACTTAGAATGACTGGTACTTACTTGCAATGACTGGATCTAACTTGCAATGAATGACACTTACTTGCAATGTCTGGAAGTTATATGCAATAATTGGTATTTACTTCCAACAACTGGAACTTACAGTACTTTCAATGATCAGGACTTACTTGCACGCTGTATATAGGGCTGCTGACTGGAATAGAGGTGTGGTAAAATCTATACTACTCTCATCATCTGTACTGTCTAAGCTTCCCCCATGGTCCTGACTGTATCTGAAATATACAGTAAATTCTAAAATTATGCATCAATGATACTAAAAGCAATATAAAAAGACAGGAATTACCAACATTGCATCAAATTCCCATTAAAACACCAGTCAAAATGGATCTGTTCTTCTGAGGTGAATGATTGTTTCTATGAGGATTAAGAACATCAGACAATGCTTAACACGAACTGAATTAATATGTATGTACCTAGTGATTACTTTACAGCCCTCTTGGTGAAAAATTCTTTCAAAATCATGCAGTTTTTCACCATTCCAAGCAATTTTCAAGTGATTTTGTGCAAAAGTTGTCAAATGTGAACCCATCTGGAATTTTTTGGAGAGGTGGCTTATAAAGCACTTGAGTAGTGATGATTTTACTGATTATCTTGTGAGTATTTTACTAAAAAGTGGGTAATTTACAGTACCTAGTGAGTATTTTAGTTGCCAATTCTGTACTCCCGGTGCAACCAAACTTCACAGCCAGATCTTTTAATGTCAACCTTGTTTGTAGGTCTAGCAGGTTCTCCAGGATCTTATAAGATGCTGTATACATCTTCTTTGTTGTCCCCGACAGCTTTATTACACTTGCCTAAAAAGACAGTAATAACAAGGCATTAACATGCAATATGTCACCACCTACCATTTGTTACTAACACTGACTGCCAAATTCCAACCACCAAATGCCAACTGCCAAATACCATCCACAAAAAAGTTAAAACTATAACAATATGTCACAGCTCGGTGGTAGTAACATAAAAATGTGAAGCGGAACACTTTTCTAAGCAGAACACCTCATGACTCATAAGTGTAACAGTTTTTCAAGACTAGGGATCCATTGGTTTATGTAACTGGGCATTCAAGTGTGAAGTACCTCCCAAGTGGAACACTGCAGTAGAACCAAACAAGCCATTAACATGCAAACTGTCACAACCTGCCATTTGTTACAGACACTGAATGCCAAACACCAACCACCGAACACCATCCACAAAAATTGACCAAAGTCTCCAAATAAGCAGGTGTTCACATTTTAAGGTTTTTAAATATGTGAGTCAATAAATAATTTGAAAGTGAGAAAAAAGGTACAGATTGAGAGGTGTCTGGATGAAACAGTGTTCAGATATATACAGGTTTCACTGTACTTTAATTAGCACTCATTTTGAGCTCTATTTTACAGCGACTCAATAATTCTTGTGACACACAATCCCCTAGTGAGTCAATGGGACAAGAATCCTCAAATGGTACCTGTTTCCATCTTTATAAACAATTAGGTAATCACCTTATCTACTGTTTCTCCATGCTGTTGAGCTGCAAGGTCGAGGCAGATGACAGCCTTGCAAGAACCACTCACATTATAACTCCCCATGCCACCTGTCGTAGCACGCACTTCGGCAAGTCGCAGCAACTCATTTGCTTTTCTGTGAAAAATAGGAAAACATCACATCCATTAACTATTAATGCAACTACAGTAAGACCTGTTGAAAAGGAACACCTGTGGTACCTCTAAAAAGTGTTCCAATTAGGAGGTGTTCAACTTAAAGAGGTTTGTTGAACATTAAACCAGTTGGACTCTCAAATATGTCCGTTTGTCAAAAGTGTCCCACTAACATAGATGTTCCACTTCTAGGTTACAAGTTTCTTTGTACTTAGTAATTCCCTTCCTTTTAGACTAAAGACATGACTTTTTTACAATTATGTCTATGAATCTTAAGAATACGATTTAGCTTAAGCCAACTATAAAATTTACAAAATGATTAAGATGATTTAGATTAAAGTAAGACAATGTATTGTGATTGGACAAAACATATTTTTACTAATCTTACCTCTTAGTTCTTTGTGATGTTATTCCCAGCTTGGCAGCAAGTCTCTCTATCTGTGATCCATCCATGTCACTGAAAAGACACAACTAAATTGCATGTTTATTTTGTACTCCATACACTGTAATTGATATATTCATTGTGCTACAGCCCCGATAAAATTTTCACCGAAATATTTTTAAAATGTTACATGCAGTTTTAGTGCAATGTAATGATTTGAATAGCAACATGCATGTAGTCACACATGTACACTGGAAAGTTTACCTCGTCCTAATGGCATAATTGTGTGAAACTACCAGAATTTTGATTCAAAAATGCTAGAAAGGAAATTTAAGCAGGCTAGATAAGCTTTCCAATAATGTGCTGATTTATCGCATCCTACGACCCCTTTAGATTGTGGTCGTAGGCCCGATTCATTAGTAAGCCTGTGTTTCTACAATGCCGGAGAATGAACTATGCATTGCACACATAAATGACCTACCTCGATACATTCCTGAGTATTTTAGAATTCTTTTTATATAGTTGAATCGCAAATTGTATGGGTTTATCGGCAGAACGAAGATATTTTCGTTTTTGATAGCAATATTTGTGTGTAGGTTCAACCATCAAATTCCTCCATTCAGTTCCCGGCATGCACCAGTCATAAGGGAAATCCCTGGGGAATTCCCCTTCCGACATTTTGAAAATTGCTGAGATATTTCCGATGTAAAAACTAAAATCTCTTCGTTCTGACGATAAACCCATACAATTGGCGATCTAACAACATAAAAAGAATTTTAAAATACTCTGGAATGTATCGAGGTAGGTCATTTAATAGCGCAATGCGTAGTTCATTCTCCGACATCGCTCACAAAGAGAGAGCATGGAGAGAGTTATGAACACCAGAATACATTCCTGCCATTATTTTTCCAAAGTGTCATTGTGTCATTCTCTTATTTTGTTTGATTTCTCTTTCTGTCAGTATATGATATATTTTTGGAGTATTAAGGCCAGGGTGCATGTTCAGAATTTTTCTGCATTCCTCAATTGAGTCACAAGTTGTTTTTCAAACAGAAATCACTCCTTGCCCATTTTGTCTACATCTTCCAGTTTTGCACAAAGAGTGCACTTATGTGCCTAGAAAAGACTGATGTGAAGATTTGTTTTGTGAAATCGCGGAAATGGAAAGGTCATCTTTGGGAAATCTCCCCCCCCCCCCCCTGGTCCAATCAGCTTTCGCCGACATCCCCTGAATGTGTTCATCAGTTGAGAAACAACGCAAATTATGAACGCAGTGGCGAATGGCCAGACTACATCATTCTGTATAACAGTTTATTTAGAGATGCAATATTGCAGAATGGTCCTAAAATTCCCGGGTTTGAATTGTTGACTGGCTTATTTTTTAGGCTTGATTGGCTCGCAAAAAAGTGATTTTGAAAAAGATATGAACCAAATTGTAGATACTAAAATTGAAACTAGCATTTCAGTTTCACAGGAATTCAAATTATTTATGCTTATATCTTCATAAACATTACCTACCATCGCTATAAAATATTGATAGATTTGAGTGTTTGAAACTTATTTTCTTACCTCTTCTTTTGAAGAACTCCTTGTCTTTGACGAGTGAGTTCCCCTTACAGAGATCCCTAGAACTATTTAACGGGACTTGAAGTGTAGAAGCTAGTTTTACATAATAAAAAATCAAAGGAATCCTAAACAACCCGTTATTTGACTTGAAACAACTTGAAATTTATTGTAGAGCAGCCTAGTATAACTCTTCAAATTAGAGGAAAATAAAGAATTTCAAAGCGAGGCTGTCAAAATATTTTTTAAATATTTCAAAATGAACAGGAATAATGCAGAAATTCGAGCAAGGTAGGCGAATATATTATACCTCTATGAGATACTATCATTACACATTGTTTATAGGAGCTAAACACGGCCACTTTTTGAAGATTGTGGTCTCTAAGAGAATATACCTCGTTTTATCAAACTTATATTTTCTTTGAGAGTCACTGAGCGATGTGATGGCTGTCCATCGAACTTCGACTTTCCGTTAATTTGCCCCACAATAGCCAAAGGATGAAGTAAGCCCTCATGTCGAAGTTTGACTGACGGCTCTTATTTTAGGCTAGGTATAGTCCGTCCAACTGTCCCGCAATTTGCCTAATTGTCACACACTTGCTGGAAAATTTGAAGTCACACCAGTTATTTTTGCATGACAAAATATGTCACGCAAATACGCATTTTACCTGATTATGGTCAAGCAAAAGTATTCCTGTAGAAAAACTTCCAAAAAGTGATCGCCGACACACCACAAAACTGAACGCAGAAAAAAAAAACGAACGCATTTCGTTCTGACTTTCACGCGTATACCATATATGTCATGCATTTTGACAGAATGGGAGCGTAGCGAGAGCGAAAATTTTGAGGTGTCCAAAATTTAGTTACATGCAATAAAATTTGAACCAAGGTCCTTAAAATGTGGGCCAAGGTGTTCAGATTTGGGCCAGGGTGTCCAAAATTTGAAGAAAGGTGTTCAACATTTGTAAGTCACTCATGTTAGGTGTTCCCAAGTTGACAGGCCTGATAGTCCAACAACGTTAGACATAGTCTGGGGCCTCGTTTCTTATCTGACATGTCTTAGGCCTGACTAGGTCTAACCTCCATCGTCATTTTGTCATAAGCGCGTATAGATCAATGGCGTAGCGTCATATACGCATAAAACGCCATGGCGTACTCTCAAAATTTAGAGAAAAGTTGATTTTTAGATTGATTATGCCCACAATTTAAACATGGATACAATTAGTCAATATTAAGTCCAAATTTCGTATTTTAAAACGCTTCAACAGCAATCTCATTTTCAAATTATCTTTGGGAGAAAACCCACCGCCAAACCCCCTTCAAAGATTGTTAGCTTCTCTCACTCGTGGCGTATACTCACAAAATACCCACGCTACGCCACTGTAGATAATAGTTCCACCTGTTCTGACAAGCGGAACTAATTAACCCTAATAAGAAAATATTATGACAGAAATAATGTGATGAAAGCAAGCATATATACCTTATGAATACAAGTATCATCCAGTATTCCCCTGTGTTGTTGATGATGGATACATTCAGAAGTATTCAAGACAGCTTTCAAAAATTTGGTTGAGGTTACGATAACATCTAAATGGCAAATCTGAAATCATGTACCCGAAACACCGTAAGTATGTACTCTAAACAAGTCGCATGTTATTCTCCATTTAATATTCCCTTGAATACACTTAATGAGACGATTATCAATTTATTATACTCAATGGGTGTGATAGTTATCAACATACTATTCTGAGATACTTTGCTGGGAGTCCGTCCATTGAGGTGTTATGCCCAACATTTTGTCTATAAGATAAAACAATTGTCACAGAATATTGATAACAATCTGTTTCATTTTTTATTAATCGCCGGCAAAGAGACCGAAAACTATTTTCCAGGTTTACAAAAGTTCCATCTGTAGAATATTTTCATCTTGATAATTTAGTACTCTTAATGTCTAAATGTTTTTAGGTAATCAAGGTCAATCAAGTCCACATCATCATATGACTTATTTAATAGGTAAACATGGTATTATGGTTAGATAGGGTATAGGGGGTAGAGAACTAGTGAAAAGTTATGTATTACTGTATATATGATTATATACTTTTGAGTTGAGATTCTGAATTTTTGTGTTGATTTAAAAGTGGTTTGTGTTTTTACAGCTTTATTGGTACCAAGGTGTATTTATTCTTTCATTCAACAATAACATCCTTGTTTTTTTCTTTTCTTTTTAGCATTTATTTATGTCTTTTGGCACAATTTGTCCCCAGGAGTAATTAGCAGCTGTAACAACCCTGGATAGCAAGGTGAAGCATCAGTATTGGGATCTAAGGATCATGGGTTCAATTCCCAGACTGGGCGTTAAATTTAGCACACTTTCTTTCAAGTTCTGTATCTGGCTTCTTGTTATACTATGATAATTAGTCATTACCCTGGGGCGCCCTTGGGTCAAGCACAAACTTACATATTCACTACATCAACATCCCAAATATGGTTCTCTCATTTGTATAGGTGTCTGACTTTGTCCCATATTTGCAAATCATCTTGAATGTTCAAGGCAATGAACATGATAGCCTAGAGGACTATCAGTAGATGGCATAGAATTTAGTGGTCTAGTTTATCAACAGTAACATAATTTTGCTTCAAAAATAGATTGCATTTGTGATGCTGAACAAAAAAAAATTGATATTGAATCTTCTCTCATTTAGAGAAAAAAAAATATTGGTTTGATTAATGTTACAGTTGTTTGATAAGTGCCCACTAATGATCTGCCATATACAGTAGAACCTGTGTAAATGGAACCCCCTTTGGACCACAAAAAGTGTTCCACTTGGGAGGTGTTCCACTTACAGAGGTTCATTAACATGGAGTAGATAGGCCATGAGACTTTAAAAACACTGTTCCAATTGTGAGGCTTTCCACTTACAGAGGTGTTCCACTTAGCAGGTTCTACTGTTCATAAGTCCTCACAATCATGAGTTTGATTCAAGCGCATACATCAATATATTTGTAATTTACAGGGTGACCCAAAAAAAAATGCAACCCTCCATTTCTTCAATATTTTTCTTAAATGGAGGTAAATTGCTCTGAGATTTGGCACACAAGAACTTCATTCAATGTGGGATCCTCTGGCAAAGTTTTAATAACGATAGTCTTATATTGATTGAGTTATGGTTGTTTCAAAATATGCTCCATATATCATCAATTTCGCTGAAAACAAACTTGCAATGTTCAAGGAAAACTGTTCATAACAAGGATGCATTCTTCCCCATGGGTATGGCTCAAATTTATGCAGGAATGCTTGTTGGAGTTCTGCAATTGCAGTAGGGTTATTTTCATACACATTATCCTTTAAATAACCCCATATATAGAAGTCAGGGGCATTGAGATCAAGACTGTGGGATGACCATGGGTTCTCCATCCTAGGAGAGATAATCTCATCATAGAAATGACTAGTGAGCCAGGCTATGCTATCATAAGAAGTGTGAGGAGTAGCCCCATCCTTCGAGAATCACTGTTCTTGTCTATTGAAGCCTGTATGTCATTCTAGAACTGCCTGGAACTTCCTGGGAATGCCAATATTGCGCTGTGTGTTAACAGTAACAGTGTTGCCATTATCAACCTCAAACCAAAAGGGGCTGATGATTTCATGTTTGGAAATTGGCAGCCCAAGCTGTGCATTTAACAGAATGAAGGGGCCTTTGAAGCACTTCATCTTGAATTTGTGATCCCAGAACACATTATTTCTTGAGTTTACATGTTCAGAAAGAAGGGAATGTGATTCTTCCGAAAACCTAACATTGGAAATGGACGACATTTGGAGCATATTTTGGAACGACCATAACTCTATCAATATAAGACTCTGATTATTGAAACTTTGCCAGACGGATCCCACATTGAATGAAGTCCGTGTGTGCCAAATTTCAGAGCAATTCACCTCCATTTAAGAAAAATATTGAAGAAATGGAGGGTTGCATTTTTTTTGGGTCACCCTGTATAAATTCTCATCCCAACCATTGCAACCTTAGAGAGCAGTATTGCTCTGTGTATGTTTGAATTTGAGGGAAGCATGGGTACATATCCCTGTACAGTACAACCTGTCTATCCAAACACCATGAAAACCTTAAGATGTGAAAACCTTAATTAGGTCCCCTTTTCAATTTGTCAAAGACTAACATGTTTAAATCCTTAAAATGTGAACACTTACCAATCTGAACAATTTCATAAGGTGCAAGTGGTGTCTATAGACAAATTTTATTTTACTGTGCCAATAGCAGATTGTATTGATTTTGAGGGGTGTAAGTGACAACGTCAATTTATTGATTTCTACAAAATAATTAATTACATTAAGGGAGAGGGTTAAAATTCATTATGTTTTGTGTTTTTAAACTGAAGAGACTTTATTTGATGAAATCAATAAATGGTTAATTACATTGAGGGGAAGGAGGGCAATCTGAAAAGAAATTATCTGTTGAGAAAAATTGAAATATTGACTTGGTCCCTTTGGGATACAGATTGTTCAACTACATGTAAATAAACAGCTTGTTTAATGAATCATTATTTTTTAAACTTGTTCTTCACTAGTCATACTGTCATTTATTTCCATGATTATGTGAAATGTCATCTATTTTTTAGTGAGAACCAATCCAAGTTCATCCAAGACAGAATCACAGCTGTTGAAAAACACTTCGGAGAAATGTGCTTCCACTTTGGAGCCCTTGCCAGGAAAAATGCAAAATTACGAGATAAAGGTAAAATTTATTTTAGTATTGAGGTGTAATTATTGGTTTATGAAATAACACCATCTGTACTTTTTCTAGCAATTTTATTGATTACTTTCAATGGAATAGAAATGAAATGTAGAATCTGGATGTACTAATTTGTACATCTGTGCATGGTGCATCATCGATTATTATCAGCTATATAACATGTATTTTATAATTGAATACTACCATATCTACATTATATGAATGGTTTCATTTTTGACATTCTGTGTCAATTTACAGTACAGTAAAATTGTGTAAAGTAGAAAATTCTCTGTTCATTGAAGGAGTTTTCAAAATCATTTTTAATGCTTCTCTGAAAGAACACTTCTGATGGTGTTCCTCTAACATTATAAAATTTTCACTGTAATTTTGTCATATACGTACATGTACATGTAGTTGTGAATTATGTTAAAATCTGTCTAAAATGAACATACCAGGCTTTTGCAATTTAAGTTCACATTGTCATGTGTTTGAATAGATAATTTAAATAACTGATAACATTGGGGCAAATGCACCATTTATAACATAGACATAGAAGTTTGTAAACATGGTAAAAGCAGTAAAAAATTTTCTCCTCCTTTCCAAAATCTTCTGATTTGTAAATGTTTCAGACTGTCCTATCAGGCCCGTAGCCAGGATTTGCCAAGGGGGTTCACTTTTTGAAAAAATTCCCCGGCTACGGGCCTGCCTATTATTTGTTACAAGAAAATCTGTTTGTTCTCTTGTTAAAAACAATTATTTTTGTCCTCTTCTTTATCAACAAATGTTTGACATATATGTTTTCATTGATACATATTTTCCAGGAGATGAAGTAGCAAAACACATTTTAACATATGCTGAGAATGAAAGTCTGAACCACTCCAGCAGGCATGCTTTAACAAAGTTCTCTGAAAACTTAGCAGCCGTCCAAGACTATAGAAATGCTCAAGTAAGAAACCTTATTGAATTTCCTCATAATGTCACCTGTGTAATTTAAATGATTTAGCAAGGCATCATTCCTGATATTAAACTTCCACTGGCTGATCTAGAAGCTAAAAAGGGGGAGTGGCCCATATTTCAAGTCAGGCAAAAGACTTTGTGCCCCTAAAGCCAAAAATTGGCCCCAAATTTTGAAATTTTCACGCCCATTTTTGATAATTTGGCCAAAAAGGCCAAGTTATGCTAAAAAGGCCCATTTAGGGGGAGGGGCCCGTGCCCCATGGGGCCTCCCCTGGATCCGCCAGTGACTTCCATTGTCATTATATTGAAAGTACTTTCGAATTAACACCCATTGGTGATATACATGTAATGAAAGGGGATCATAAGAAAATCTGCCTCTCCTAATCTCCTGACAGCCCACTCTAGATATGTTCTTGGACTTGGACACCTCAGACATTCTGGATTGGATGAACATATCAGCAATTGTGTTTCAATTTATATCTCATGTCATGGTTATCTCATGAGGTCTATATGGAAATACACACAATTCTCCACATGCTTTCTTTAAAGTCCGATTGAGTTGAGTTATATAGTTGTTAAGGAATAATTTCTGTTGCAATGTGAACGGATCTACTTTCTCTGTGCTGTGCCTATGGTGACGACCTTCACTTTTACATTCAATACAATCAAGTAGTTCATTTGTGATTGATGTATTCAGAAAATCCGCCAGGCGCCTTAACTCATGCCTCAGATGTTGTTTTAGATTTTCATAATGTATAACAATGAATGGTGTTTTTCTTGTGGTATTAATTATTACTTTATTGACGAAGATGTTCATTTGCGTGAACCATCTTGATCCCATCCTGTTCACTTTGTTTGTAAATTCTGAAATCAATTATAAGACAAAGAAATATGAGAATTAACAAGACGAAGACCTCATCATACTGTGAGTGATTAGGGCTGCTGATTTTTATTTATTTATTTGTTTGTTTATTCATTTGTACAGGCCTGTAGCCAGGGGGCTCGATGGGTTTGAACCCCCCCCCCCCCCGCCAAAAAATCATGCAGTTTTTCAACATTCTGAGCACTTTTTAAGTGATTTTGGCCATTTTTTGGCCAAAATTGTCACTAGTGAACCCCTCCTGGAATTTTTCAAAAAGTGAACACCCCTTGGCAAATCCTAGCTACGGGCCTGTTTGTGCAAAGAATACAATACAATAATACATGTGTCAGTGGCTGTGCTTTGAGCATTATTAGCCACACCACCAAATTTCCTTATAAACGAAGCTCTTTACCTTTGATACTATTATGCCAATATGCCTATTAACTGGATCATGAATTCATATTAGTACCAGCTGACAACTTAGCCAAAAAGAAAACATATTTTATATTTGGTTAGAAAATATTTAGAACATCGCTCTTCAGCCGAATAAAGAAATTTCATTCTTAGACTTCTTTGACTCCCCCAGTTCTTTACAGCCATTATGTATTTAATGGTGGCATAATGCTGTTCCTTAATTAGCTCATCTTTTATTTTGTCGAGCCACATGTGCATACCATATAAAACAATGATTAAAAAACTCACCATTTTTCCTTTGTTGGAATATAGTGTTAGCTATGTTGACAGAGTGGTTTTTACTTGGGGTAGAAACTCTCTTGAACTCTGCTAATATCATATCGTACGGATTCCTTATAAGTGCAATCATCTTGTCATATACGTCGTTGAAATCGTGCGATTTTACAGCTATGACACTTCCATCCCATGGTATAACTTTAGCCTCACCAGGAAATCCATTTTTATATAGGACTTTGTCGAAATACCTCGACCCTGTGTAGATACCTGAAAATAGATTGACAGTCACCTGATCATAGTTTTGCAATATTTTACTGAATACGAATACAGAACATGTAGTTTGTTTTCAATTTTTTTTACTTTGTTAAATATGTGATTTTTGGTGATTTTCCTCAATTCTAAGTAAGTGCAAAATGGGTTGTCAAATGAATGGAAGACAATATAAATTCTTGGGTGTTTTATTAGCCTCCATTGCCTCTAAAATAACCCAATTAAGCATGCTCAAAGTCGACCAAAACTTGTGAATTATTTTCAATGAACATGTACTGACAATGTGGTCAGATGTTACATGGCTGTTGGTACTAGAAAAAATATTTTCAATTTTGTTCAACAATGACGGGGAATTTATGTCGATAAGTGATTTTGTGCTCATTCCATGGGTCTATGGGTGAAAAGGGAGCTCACAGCATTGCTTACCTGTCATCTGTTGTAACAGATGTCTCACCCACGTGTTTCCTGACCCTGGGATACTGCTCAGTGTTGTCCTAGGGAGGGGGGTGTATGAGTAATGTAATGGCTGACAATCCGTCTTGTTTGCATACTTCTTACATTTACCTGGTGCATCTGAATATAATATGAAGTTTGATATTAAAGGTGTAACAATAGTTAATGAGAACAATTTCACATTATGTATGTACAGATGGAGTTACCCCCCCCCCTTGTTATGCATTCTTATGATGTTAAGAGTTCTTTATTCATGATAAGACTTTGATTTTGAAAATTCAGACATCTCCAGCTCTTTCGTAATTCTAATACAGGTAGCCATTTCTGTGAGTTCGGATGTTTTAACATAATGACCTTTGACCCTTAAGGTTACCTCGTTTTAAGATGTGGCATTAACCTTAACGTGACCTTGACCCTTTGTGACTGTGACCTCAATTTGATAATTTACACTACAGAAAGAGAACATGAATTACCCTGGAGGATGCTCTCTTTCTTGTTATCTCCTTTGTTCAGATCTCCTTTGTTCAAATCTCCTTTGTTCAAATCTCCTTTGATCAGATCTCCTTTGTGCAAATTCTCGTTATTCCCTTTTTTCTTGAAATTTCCATTGTTCGTGCAATGTATGATACAATAGTTACTGTTGCACATTAGATATAGGGTATAAAGCATAGCCAATATCAAAATTAACAGACATATACATACAAATTTCTTTTGTTGTATAAAAGACATTGCTAATTCACATAGCTGAGATGCTTTATGCCAATAATACAAACATGACATAAACTAAACATTTAGATTGTCAAACAGTTTTTAATTTATTTCTGTTAAATATTCCTAAGGGCACATTTGATCATAATCTTGTCAGGGTGGCTCATTAATACATTTTTCAATCTATACGTACATTTGTATATAGCTTACTGTAAAACGGGTATTGTTAGCGAGGGGTAATTGTTAGCGATTGTTAGCGATCGCTATAGTTTCGCTAAAAATTCAATTCGCAAAATTAAACCGGGGTTAGAATAAACCGGGCGCTAAAATTTGCAAATTCCCGGGAAACTACATGAATACTAGTATTTAAGGAGCTTTTCGTTCAGTACTCGACTTCCGGTTTGTAATTTGAAAAGGGTAAATATTTTTAAATCGTATGTTTCTTTCAATATCTGAAGGATAAATAGCCATCCATCAGTGATTTTGTGATTAGTCAGATGAGATTACAGTAGTTTGGACCAATACCATGTGCGTTAGAAGTCTTACATTTTGATAATTCCTCTGTCATGTCCGTTATTCATTCTTCTGCCATAAATGATAAAATTTCTAATGCATTTCGCTAATTTGATTTTTTAAAGATTAATCTTCATTTCGCTAAAATTTCCCGCGCTAAAACCCCCTAAAATTGAAAAATCGCTAAAATTTCCCGGTCTCAAAATTACCCGTTTTACAGTAGTTTAGTTCTATTTAGTAATACATGTTTAACACATCATACTTTGAGGTATTTAGAATGTGATGATACCCCCTCACTTCCTCGTCCATACATCTGTGTGTCTGTCTGGCCATAGATAATCTATATATGTTTTGAGACTTTAACAAATTCATAAAAGGCATAAATGATTGTCGTTGAGAATAAAGATTTAGATTCAAACAAAAACAATGATAATATTATGTTATTAATGCAAAAAATGACATAAGAAAATTATTTTTGAAAAATGTGGGATTTATTGCATTTTCATTTATATTTATATAGACACAAAGAATTGAAGCCAAAGTTGTGTCTCCACTGAGTCTATATGGGTCCAACTGCAAACATGCTAAGGTAAGTAACGGTGTCAGTCATTTTCATTACAATGTGATTCTTTTTATGGTCTCTTTGTTTTCTTGTTGAAATATTGTAAACCAGGTTCTTGAGATTATTTTATTTGGCTTTTTAAATATTTGATTTATCCCTTTCTATAACTGCGGTTGGGTAGCATTTTAATTACAACATTAGAAAATGTAAAATATGTCAGCTTTTTTATTTGGCAGATTTGGATTGAGTTCACTTTTTGCATACATTTGTACAAATGAAAACTGCCATTCATCTGATCTGGTTCTGATGTGCATTTTACGAGACTCCAAGCTGGAATTTTCACCATTGGTCCAAGCTCCATTTTTTGCCTCATTTTGGTAAAATCTCTTTTTTCACCAAGTGTGCCCACTGAATACTGGCACTTTTTACAAAAAGATCCATGAATATCAAAAAATAAAGATATTTTAATTTACCATTTTGGTCAGTTCATTTTGCAATAATAATCAACTTGGAAATTAATGTATATACTGACTGCATGTGTTTTGTTTGCCAATTCTTTTGGCTTACTAAATTTAATTAAATTCCTATGTATTTTACAGGAGGATTTGAAAGCTGCATTTACAACTAGAGACAAAGAAATTAAGGAAAAAGAGAAGTTGGAGAAAGTTAAAGATAAAGCTCCAAGTGATAGACATAAAATTGTATCCTTTACTGCAAATACACAGTACACTGTTTATACAATTGGGGGAGAAAACATGTATACTACCCTGCATGCAGAGTCTAGTTATAAACAAATCTCTCTTCAGAAGCGAGGTCGAACAAATGCAAAGGGTACATGTATACAGTACACAAATATTGACCTGTCCAGAGGGTGTCTTTGTAAAAATTATTACATTTATCTGAGATAATTTTTTGATTCACATAATAAATCAAAATATCACAAAACTTAATCAACTGCATGTACTTCTTTGATTCATGTGAGAGATAAGTCTTTCCCTTCTGTCTCTGAACTTTCAATACATTTGCCTTTTGTCGGGGGGGGGGGGGCTAGAAGCTGCTGTTCTTCAATAGAGGGAATCACTCCATATATTTAGAGATGCTTCTTTAACATTTATCAGTCAAAACTTGAATCAGAACTTCAAAAAGCGTCAACAGATGCGTCTTTGGCTGAACGTGCCCTGGAAGAAAAAATAGATATGTTTGAGAAGAAAAAACTGGAAGATATTAAGGTAAAAATAATTAACAAAAATAAAGTCATGCATTCTGTACAAAGTAGTTTGTAAATTTGCAAAGTTCTTTTGAATATTATTTTTGGTTGCAAATGTGCAGAGACAAATGAGACACATGGAGGAATAATGTCAATCAATCCTTTAGAATTGTCATCATTTTATGTATTTGATTTCACATTTCGCAAATGAATATTCTTACCATTAAAGTAATCAAGGGAGAAAATTCTTAAATAGTCAATTTAACATGACGCAAAATACTAAGAAATTCTGAATTCAAGACAGTTGGATGTTTGAATCAAACATGTTTTACAATAATGGTTTCCATTGTTTTGTAGAAAGTGCTTCAAGATTTTGTGTTGACTGAATTGTCATTCCACTGTAAAGCTGTAGAAAGTTATACTCAGTGTTACCAAGCTCTACAAAATATGAATGAGGAAGATGATTTAGAGGTACAGTACATGTATACTTTATAATATAGATTAGTCAGGTCAGCTTTGCCGTTTTTCAAAATTCCAACGGGGTTTGACAGTTTGGCTTCAAATCACTTGAAAAGTGCTCAAAGAACTTTTGGCCAGGGGCTCATTCGAAGTCTCTAACCCCCTGAACCCTGCACCTTTGACCTGATTTAGTGTTGCAGTAAATAGACAATTAAGGAGATATTGATGCAATGTGGGTCTTAAATAATTATGTATACTCTTGGTTATCTTGGCAAATGGCGTGTGGTGTCCTGAGTTATTTCACTAGTTATTATTTTTTCAGGAATTTAGAAACTCACTCCGTACAACTCATACATACATACACTCATACAAACTCTCTCTGTCCAAGCAGTGCTGCATCCAGAGGTTTGGGGCATGGTGTCTCAAAATCTTTCATATGTTATAATTTCTTTTCAGGAATTTAGAAACTCTCTCCGTCCAAGCAGTGCTGCATCCAGAGGTCTGGGACATGGTGTCTCAAAATCTTCACTGAACACAACTGCCCAATCATTAAAGAACACGCCATCTGGTAGAAGAGCAAAGTCAAACCAAAAGCAAACAGTTCAGGTGAGGTGAAATACCAACACAATTCATGGTTTGCTTTACTATATGTAAGATTTAAGAACTAATGACAAGATTTGTTGACAATAGGGTAAAGGCATGTTTCTTGTTATGTTACCACCAGAAATTGTGACATATTGTTATAGTATCCAATTTTTGTGGCCCGTGTTTGGCAGTTGGTGTTCAGTGGTTGATATTTGGTGTAAGACATCTCTAACAAATGGGAGGTGGTGACATTTTGCATGTTAATGCCTTGTCATTCTAATGATTGTGACATTATGTATCAGATTATAAATAAGAAAAAGGCCAAGATTCTATGACCCATTGCACAATATAGGACCACTGATTTTTCTGATCATTTAAAAAAGTAAAATCGTGAAATAATGGGGGAAAATCAAATGCCATTCACCATAAATATGGTATCCTATGGTACCATAAATATGGTACCATAAACTAAAAGAGTACTGTAGGGTACCATGAACACTGCACAGCACCATACTTAAATGGTACTATAATGGTACTATACTCTTAATGTACCATATGTGATTCCAAAGTACAGACTGGGGGTGTATTCTGTGTCTCCACTAAGAAGTGTTAATGACTTCAGTCATTTTGATGCCGCTTGTCAAATTATAATTGCTTTTCATTTTGCTTGTAGTATGATGATGAAGATGATGACGATGACGAAGAGGATGATGACAGCTATGAAGATGATGATGAAGAATACACATATGATCGTAGATTTAATGCTCGGTAACCATAACATGATAGCAACAGTGGACAATGTCATTCACATGATCATATGTCTATTCTCTGTAACCATAGCAGCAATGGACATTGATATTCATAGTATCATAGATTAAATGCTCACATACCATAGCAACAGTATTGTTGCTTCAAAAGCCATATCAACAGGACAGAGGATAATCATGTGAATATATAGAATATTTAGACCCAGCTGCCATAGCAACTGTGGACAATATACAATTATTGACCTCACCAGAGGTTTACTGTCAAAATTATATCCCGAGACTGTAAACCGAGACCGTAGGTCGAGGTTTACAGTCGAGGGATATAATTTTGACAGTAAACCGAATGGAGAGGTCTATAATTGTTTTGTTAGTCCGAAGAATATCTTAGATTTTCTGATTTGGGTGGTTTTACCTTTTCCTGACTTCTGCAGTTCCACAACAATCGCTTTGAAAACATTTGATGCCTTGAATTCAGACTTGGTAATGTCCATCTTAAGTGTCTCTCTGATGTATCGTGCCACTCCCCATTTAAGAAGCTGAAATGATTTCAACTTATAAAGTCCACCGTCTTTTTTTCTCTTACCAACGTAAAACTTTTTCAAAAAATTATCTACATCTGCCACGGCAGTAAGTTCACTCAATGGAGTCAAAATACTCTCCTGGGCGAAGTCCACTAAAAGCTTTGTACAAAGTTTTAGATTTTTCTTCGTATTTTGACTGTCTTTACTCTCTAAGAGACTAATAATATCCTCATCTTCAACATTTTTGAAACGGCTAGTGGTGGCCATTTTATCGTCTGACAATGACGTCATTTTAGTGGAATGCTGGGAATATTATTCACCGGCAATGCATTGCGCGGTGTACAGTTAAAATTATTCACCGCTCGTTGACCAATCAAAATCGAGTATTTCAACTGAGGTACTAACAATATAAATCATACACTAGTTTGTACATATAATTTTCAGTTCACCATATTTTAGTGGAAAAGGAGTACTCGTTCCCATATAACATGGTACATGTACATTGATTCCTGGGAAACATTAAAATGGGGTATATAATTTAAAGTACCCATGATATAAATTATAAGAAGACAATCATATTGTTATTTATTATTATGTCACCACATGAAGTGGTGACATGTGGTGTTGTTATGGATTCCAACTTTTTTGTGGATGCGGTGTTCAGTGGTCGGTGTTTGTAACAAATGGCAGGTAGTGACATTTTGCATGTTATTGCCTTGTTTATTTATTTTAATGGATAGGAAACCTAGCCACAAGACAGAAATATATGCATAAACTAATTTTCCCTAAGCGAAGTGATAGGCCAAAATCTAGCAGAATCGAGTAAGGAAAAGTTGATCCTACCAACGATAATAAATTCAGTAGCCTACGACTACCATTTTGTGAGTTGTTATCTGTGAAGACTTAGCTTGTATTCTCGAATGCAAATAGCGGCTAACCGGATTAACCTATTGATTTGCATAAAATAGATTGTCAGTTTGAAGTTGCAATATTGAACGACCCATTTGTCGACTAACAGTGATCATGTGACTTTTCATGCCATTATCACATGATAAAACAAACTTTAAATGCTCTAGATGTACTTTTTGATGTTATTTACAATTCCGAACACCTCGATAGCCAGTGTTAATTGCTGCTTTAATACCAGATTAAATCATTATTTAGCTCGGCTACTGGGTTTGGGGCAAGAGCTGGCAACTAACGGGATGCACGACAGGCGCTATTCATATTTAAATGAGTTTGCCATCAAATTGTAATCAACCCGCAAGCTGGTAGCCGCTATTTGCATTCGCGAATACAAGCTTAGAGGAGAATTATATAAACACATGAACTGAGTTGTGTAAGATCTTCCACTTACACATGCACAAAATTTGTGGAACTGAATTTATTTATTTTTGGTAGTCTTTTCCTTACTCGATTCAACAAGATTTTGGCTTATCACTTAGCCTTGGGTGTAAATGTAGGTTTAATATGCTGTATTCATAACAAGACAGGATGATAATATTCATCTGATGGTAGATTTAAAGTTTGGTAACCATAGCGATAAATCATAACAATAAGAATAGTATTGTAGATTTAAAGATCAGAAGTTTTAGCAACAAATTAGTCGGTTATGTTTGTTTGATGCTCAGTAACCATAGGAATCTATGAAAATCATTTTATAACCACAAATGAAAATTACCATAAGAGATCAAGCTTACAATGGCTTTTTTGATGCTACGTTCTATTTATAGTATCTCTCTTTGTTGAATGTAGATGTTCAGGAGGACAGAGATAGAGGTGTGACTTACAATGATGAGAATCTCATATGATTGAAAAAAATTAATATCAATGGCCTAGATGGAATGGTGAGGTTTGATGTTGGATAAAATACCATAAATCAAAAACAAATATCATGTTTTTGTTGTTGAATGTATCTTGAATTTATCATGATCAGAGTTTTTAAAAAATTTAGTTAGAAATGGCCAATAAATGATTGTTTTTTTTTTATCATCTTTCATATTTATTGTAAGCACAAGTCATTTAGATACAATTACAAGGGGCAAAGCGCTGTAAGCATTAGATGTCCCCTTATATAAATAAACAATAAAGTACAATATTCATTTTAACCTGGATGTCACAATAAATGATTGTAATGTTGTGTTTTCTGTTTTCTTCAGATAACTGTATATCCTCTATCCTCCTATCACACAGGGTTACTCATGTAAATGGACTACTATTTAATCAATTTCATTCATGGATAAAAATCCATTGTTTTTCCTGTATAGCCCATTGAATGACAGAAGCATTTTAATTTTAAAATCCTCTAACTCGACGGATATGACAATGGAAAAATAAAAATCATAAACCCACATGTTTGGTTAATTTTAACTGGATATAAGGAACCAAGAATTGATATTGAGAGGATAGAAAAATAATCAGGTCCATTTAACAGGTTATTGGTCCACTAAAGCTTTTGTAATACATGTATAAGCCATACTGTATAAATTATTTGTGGATTATATCCAGAAGGTGCACTTTGATTAGTAGGTGAGGCAAATTCTATTGGATTCACAGGTTAAGATGTTATACACCCAGAAGTCAGATATTTAATGTGACATTTTGGAGGAGATTTAAATAACTAGATATATATAGTCCATTTTTCATTTTCTTGACTTATGAATATCTAAAAACATGATGTTTTTCTTTGCAAATAGTATCAATAGGGTTTATTGGAGTGATTTAGCTGGGTTGCCAAAAAATTAACGTTGGGGAAAATTTTTGTATCTATCACCATGGTAACATACCAGGTACATGGTGGTATCCCGACGCTAAGTCAATAGTCAACACCATGTTAAGCCAATGCACCCCTCCCTAATTAGCCGATATACTTTTTTCCCCAAACTAACTTTTTGTCCAACCCAGTTAAATCACTTCAGAAAACTCTTGTTATTATAAATTAACCATAAAACATGGTGTTTTTAACAATTCATAGGTTCACTATAGTATGTATAGGGATGACAAATGGACTAATAGTATATCTTTAGTTGACTTTACTACTATATGTATTTGATTCAACATTGAAAACACATGCATAGTTCAATGTCCACTTATGAATAAAATGTGATTTTATATACTTTCTTGTTCTATATAACTACCACTTTACAAAAGTTGCGATGCTATTATTATTTGTTTTCGGTCCCTCTGCCTTTTCATTTACTGATTCCAGTTGATATTGGTCATATCCCACATAGTGGGTCCAGAAATTAACAAAAAATGCTTGGATTTCAGGAAAAAATTGGGTACATATTTTGAAAAACAGCCATTGAAGGAACAGTTTATAAGCCAATTGTCATCTAATTAAGGAATAAATAATGATAGGCCATTCAATATGGTGAAATTCAGCACGAGTTGGACTGAATGTTGTATAAAGCATGAACTGAAGGTTAGGGCAATTGTTCTGACGTTCTGTCCAATGACTTATGAGTGTAGAATTTCACCATATTGAATGGCCTATCATTATTTATTCAGATTTAAACATAGAAAATGAATAGAATGTTCAGAGAATTGGCGATTGAGGTCAATGGAATAACCAAACTTGCTGCTATTTTCGCCATTCCAAGGTGTGACTTCATAATACAACACAATACATGCATTTTGATTCCTGGAAGCAGATCGAAAGAGCATAGTCGTGCATCTATTGAGAAATAGAGAACGTTCTTTATTGGTTTAATGCTGCATTTTGATTGGTTGAGAAATTCAATTAGAGCACGTTAGAATTGATTTTTTATCATTCTGTGAACTTTTTTTGAAAAACAGAGATTGGCCAATCCATAAGGCCCATGGCTCATGTCTCATTCATTTTCATGGTTGAAAAGCCAATAAAATATAAACCTCTGAAGCCTCTGAAATCATGGTTTCAACATGTTTCAACACAACTGACTGTAACTTTGTTTTAGCATGTGCCATACACACTCTGGATGAACAAACTACAAAGATTACTGAGATGGTGGACGTGGTTTATGACTATATATTTCATATGATAAGTTTTTGAGCTCATTCTATCAGATTTGATTATGTACTGACTCAACTTCGAACCTGTGTTGTCAGGTTGTTCACTTTGTTGACTCAATTTGTTTACAATAAACGGGGATTCCCCATCGGTTATTGAGAATACTGAACTGTGATTCGTCAGCCTGTAAATAAATTATGAGAATAAGCAGTGCCCTCTTGACCAATCAGAAACAAGGAAAATCTGGGTTGGATTCTCATTTACATAATCATTCATCAACATTACACTAAGGAAATATACATCCTCGGAATACTGCAAAATATCGTATATTTTAACTGAAATGAACTCCATCCTTCATGCAAACTTGTTCATGAATATACACTCTACTTAAATTCATCACAGACAGTAAGCTGGATTACGGATATCTACAAGAAAATCAGCTCTAAAGTTGGAACACAAAGGTAAAAATGGCGGCATCCTGTTTATTTATCGCCATGTTGTTTTTATCTTACTCCACTAAAGTAAATCGCTTTATTTGCATTTTCTCAAGTATCAATGTCAATGACAGTTTGATAAGTTGTAAGGTAAAGATGAGAATTTTTAAAAAACTCTACATTTTACGTGTCATCTTGAAGTTTTGACTGCTATTTTTGATGTTTGAGATGGACATATTTTGACTGCAAGCGAAAATTGCACGTCACATGTCTAACAATAAAAGCACAAAGGGCAACGTGTGTAAACACAAAAATTCAAGATAAGCACTGGTAGTGGTAACTGTGGTTGCCTTGCATGGTTTGAACTATACTATATGACCATTTCTTCACATATTTGACTTCCTTGCAACGAAGTTGGTACGAGATACAGTTGGGGACAAAAATAAATGACAGGTCGATTTTCGATCACCATTTCCTAATTATGGTGGTCTGAAAGCCCATAATTTCCAATATTGTCTAGATACATATCCCTTAAAATTTGTATATTTTACATTTTGTATAATCTCATCCACTGATTTATGGCCTCTTGTAAATTCTCTTATTTTTAACATGGGAAATCCTCACTTCAGCAAATCCACCTGTCATTTATTTATGTCCCCAACTGTAGATCTAAGTTATGTCCAATTGTCCATCACCCATCTCGTACAAAGACCGCATCTCTGTCAGAGACTCTGACGATGAATTGACATCCATGAAATAACTCATCTTCGGTCCTCTGTTGGTCTGAGGACACTGAAAACCAAGCGTTTGAAGATGGAAATAACTTATGTTTTTCAGGCACATCAACTCACCTCATTCTCAAAGATCACCATGAATACAGACTAACTTGCGCTCAAGCCTCAAACATGGATCTATTTGCAACAAAACTCTGAAACAACTCATGACCAGCCTTGGTACAATCTCTGAATCCCATTTACCTACTGATAATGGTAAGTTGATTTATAAATATTAAACAATTATGGTAAAGTCGATTTAAATATCAGTACTGCAATATAAAATTCATGTCTCTTTGGTTGCGAATGTTACAATGTTCATAAATGTGCACCCAGTTGAGCTAGTCATCTGAAACTTCTTTTGGAGTTGCTCCATGGAGTCTAGTTTTTATGTGCAAAATAAGAAATCAGTCGTGCAACATTATGTGGGTTCTATGTGGGTACCCTTTGGTTTTATTTTATTAGTTAAAAGATAGATTCATCTACACTCTTAAGAGAAACCTCTGAACTTGCTGACCCAGTCAGATCTTTTCATCAACGGAAGAATGGTTTT